TTAAACTACAGCGAACAACGTAGGACGCTGCCACCTGCTTAAAGAAGAGGTTTTGGGTACTGTCAATCAATTTGCTGTACCATATCATTGTCTCAAAGTGCTTAGTTTCTGTTTCTGGTACCTGCCTAAACGCTTGAATAGAGATCAAGGAACTGACAAACATTGAGTAATGTCAGTTTCCTGTAATAACTTCTTTGCTGACATCAGGAAGCAGCCAGTGCCTAAATGACTCAAGAGACTGGGGCAGACACGACACTCGTCTCACTGTTTAATCATTTACGAATTTAGGAGATTCTTTCGAAATCCCCCATCAGGAAGCTTTCACGCTTTTTTCCCAGAATAGCAAAGCGACACTGACAGCAGCAACAGGACAGACATGTCTTAATCCCCTGAGACACATGTATGAAGTTATTCACAGATAAATCAAAGCTATTCTTTGTATTTGCTTTCAAAAAGAAGCATCTGGGTTAACTTTTCTAAAGCCACCCATCAAAACAGTCTCCGAGCTGCTTCTTCCCAAACAGATCAAACAGCCGAGTCATCACAGTAATGTCAGATCATAGCAAGCGAAGGTTTCCACAAAAGCAAGTGCAGATTTGTCATTCAATATGGGAAAGTACAGCTGAGTGCCAGGAGATACGAGCTGAGACTGATGGGTTTATCCACTCCACCAGTCTTCGGCAGGCCATCAAACAGTTTTCCTTTGATAACAGCTATAAAATATTGCAAGAAATAGATTACTTGCACGTTTTGTTCAACACGATCATCTCAACATACTTTAGGGCTGCTCGATTATGGCAAAAATCATAATCTCGATTATTTGGGTCAATAATTGATATCACGATTATTAAAAACGATTATCCATTTACTTTGAAAACATCCATTTATTGTATATGTGAACAGTATGTTTTTAAAAGTTGATTACCCTGAACTTTAAGTATAATTCAACTGAAAAACCAATACAAATGTATTAAAAATAAATACGATATTACTTTATTTGTCAGATCAAGTCTGAAATTTGACTTGCGTCACAGCAGCTCCATGTCCAACATCCACAGACAAATATCGCACGAACAAAAATACATGAACACAACAACAAACCATTTAAC